GGTCAGCAAGGAAAGATGAACGGCACATTTCACCTCATGTGAGGTACTGTGCTTAGTTTATATCATAAACAAATAAACTAGCCCCAAGTTTAAAAAAATGACTTTGAGCCCTGCCGACGTGGTTCAGTGGTTGAGCATCGACCTATGAACCAGTAGGTCACGGTTCGATTCCCGGTCAGTGCACATGCCGGGGTTGTGGGCTCCATCCCCAGTCGGGGGCATGCAGGAGGCTGCCCATCCATGATTTCCTCTCATCATTGACGTTTCTATCTCTCTCTCCTTCTCCCTTCCTCCCTGAAATCAATTTAAAAAAATTTTTTTAAAAGGACGTTGAATCTACAAATTCCTTAAGCTGTCATTAGGTACTTCAACTATAAAATTGCACAATATTCTGAATATATAAAGTATTTGTTTTCATGAACTCTCTAAACAAGCCAAAGAAATGATCACAGTAACTTAAAAAGAGGACAAACAACTTTGGAGTTGGAAGGACTTTCAAAATTCAGAAAACAGGTTTCATAACAAATTACTGCTGTTGTCTAGTTGTCCCAGGGTCTTGTAAGCAAAAAAACAAGTCCATAGTTTAAGGAGGGCCAATGACGAAGCTTGGTGTTTCTTTATTTTGACAACTTTATTCCTATCACTAAAAGAGATTACAAAAAGATGTCTAAAGGTATTTATTGTATAATATGTTAGTGTTCTTTAATCTGGGGAAGACCTCAAATTAGATAAACAAAAAATTGCTGCCTTCAAGGGAAAAGATGGATAATTCTAAGTAGCAGGTAAATAGTGAGTCGTTTTTCAATCATGCTTTTGAATTTATGCTCATCCATCTATATGCCAGCATAACCAATGATACTGGGCCTCCATAACCAATGGTACTGACCATTTACAACTGTCCAGGGGGCACAATCTATGGCTGTGATGCAGACCAAGGCTTGCTGATCCATACCAGGCTATCTTGGCTACACTAGTACCCCTTTCTAAGAGGTGTATATATTCTGCCAAAGGTTGGAGCTGCTGTGCTAAGGGACCTTGAATAAAATACTGAAATCTTCCAGGCCCTCAGTTTCCTGTTTTCTTCATTTGTGGAATGGGATTAACAATCTCACATATTGTGTGTTTATAAAATCAAACTAAAATTATAGTCAAACATACGTGAAAGAACTTTGTAAATTATAAAGTTATAATACCTCACTTAACCAGCTGAATTGGCAAAAGACGGTATCTCTGATATAACAAAACAACTCCCTGAGGATATATGAGTACATATATAATGTCACAAAAACTGTTAATAAAATACTTATAATACACAATAGTTATTAAGTTAAAAAGAGAAGTCATGTAAAGCACTATAAGTTATAGACAGGTAGGATGCTTTAGTATTGCAGCAGTTAGAATGGTATATTACTTAAACCTCATGCTGGAAATCACATAGGTGATTCTTTTAATGCCAGGTCTATACAGACCCTTATCTCCCTTCAGGACCAAGGCTTGTTAACCATTAACTAGGTGCAAGTGAAAGTTCACTTCCCCAATACTTCAATGAAAACACTTTCTACTTGTATGCATTCCCATCTGAAATGCCCAGATCAACACAGCCCTCCAGCTATTCTAATTTACCTAAAAAGAGTGAAATGAAATGGGGAAAAAAACACACCATTATCCACAGCTTTCTTCCACCACAAAGAAAAAGCAGGATGAAACCACAAAATTAAATGCACATAGTACTTTTCCGAACACAGAAAAAAAATTTTCTTAAAAATCCCCTCGGTTTCCCAAACTCACAAATGCCAAAAGCAACAAAAATACCCTTTTCAAACAGGAGGATGACTGTGTCAAATAAAGCATGACCAAAACCCTTTGATGGAATGCTTATATTAAAATAGCCTTCACACATTCATCACTGGACCAGTTTTAAAATTAAATTGTGCAATACAATATCCATACAATATAATTTGGAATTGTCAGTGAAAATAAGGGTATGAGAAATACACTAAATATTTTTGTCCCTTGGAGACTTACCAAAATTCCTGCAGCAGGAAGGCCTGCAAATGCAATGAAATAAAATCTCTGAAAACTGTGACTATATTTTAATTTAAAACAGTTTTAACTGAAGTCTACCGCTCTCTTAAATTCTTATTTTAAACAAGTACACTTGCCCTATAGTTTCTCTAATAGACCTAATATTTCCTTGCAACAAAATCAGACTACTGTGGGGTATAGGTAATCTTTTCTTTTTCTTTTAAAGATTACATAACTTCTTTCTAACAGCCGTCTATGTCTGAGGCGAAATCAAAACCAATGCAACTGAAAACGAAAATGGAACTGCTAGATATCCATTTTTAACAAAAAAAAACAAACAGAAATTATTCTTACTTTTCAGAGAGCCACTATGTCAGGAATAACTTTCTCAATAAATGAATCAGTTATCAAAGAGCGAACACTTGACGTTAAGCAAGCAAAGCAGGGGGGTCCTATGATAACATATCCAGAACCTGCAGCAAAGACAAGTACAAGAACTAAATGGGGTTTTAAAGCTTAACTTTTCTCATTCCCTCGACACATATTTTCCAGGTTCAACGGAGGTGTGATGCATCAGACTCCGCAGCCTATGGACGCGTATTTATCTCAAGTACCAGAGCCCTGGCGAGCTCGGTGCAGGGGGCTGGGGCATGCGGGTGGGAGAGGGACCCCCACCTGAATACCTGCTCTGAAAAGCCTGCCATCATCATGCCCCATGTCACCAACAAGCACCCACAGTACAGAAGACCCAGGCAGCGCCGGCTCCCACCGCCCCGCCCCACCCCGCTCCATGCTTCTTTCTCTTCGTTTCCATTCCTTGGTTAACTTTCAAGATCAAAGGGGAGAAACCTGTTGGAATGGATGTTTAGAAGGTAAATACTACAGAAGAGGCAGAATTAAGGAGCTCCAAGAAACCCATTCATTTACGTACAACCACGAGACGACTCGCCCACGAGTATTCGGCCAGTGGCGGCTGCACCCTATGATCTGCGGAGAAGATGGGACCGAACCCCAGAGGTGGTTTCTCTCCCGGGGAAGGAAGAAGGACCGAGGCAGCTCTCCGCCCGGG